ATAAATAGGTTCACAAATTCAAGGACTCTATGTATGTATAATCTTTTGACCTAATTAAGAGATATACATGAAGAAGACTTCTTGTCTCATGAGGACTCTCCAAACTTCTCCTATAAAAGGAGCAGGTTCATTCATTTTACACAACACACACGTACTTGTTGTCTCGTTACTCTGCCGTTTTCTCTTTGGACCACCACTGACTTGAGCGTCGGACTGTTCGCGCCGGGACCACCCCCCGCGTGCTTTGCAGGTAGCGACGATCAAGGAGACGCAACCCGGTTCGGAGAGGAGCGGTCCAGCGGTTCAAGAATTTGTGGTATAACAATGTTCATTGATATAATTGATCTAATGGTACATGATCATTCTTATTTCTTTCACTATATACCATTCTCATATGATCCTCTTACTCTCTCTCTCTCTCTCTCTCTCTCTCTCTCTATATATATATATATATATATTAAATCGAATATAAAATAATATTGGATCTAATTTATAAAGTTGTTAATCTACAGTGGTATCTAAAAGTTATAAAAGTTGATATAAAAGATAATATTTTAAAATTATTTTTTGAATTTGAGAATGAGTATATGATTAGAGAAGAATTAGGGCTTGCTGGATATAGATATATTGAGTTTTATATATTTATTTATTTATTTGGTTAAAGAGAGTGAATATTGAAATAAAAAGTTTATTTGGTTAGTTACATTGAGATTTTGAGTTTATATCAAAATAGTGTTTAAAATAAATTAATCTATTATTATATTAAAAGAATAACCTTTTTTAAAAAAGGCAGGTCAACTACCTGGTCAGATCTCTCTCATCATTAATTACTTTCTATTAGTAGCATACTATTTCTTTGTTCCTCAAATCACGCTTTTGTTTCATACACCATTAAAAATTGTACAAAAAATCCATTATCGCATTCCCAGCTAAAAACTCTCAAGGTTATCTTACAGAATCCCATTGCATAAATATTGGTTTTGATTCCATACACATCGGACTGTACAAAAAATCTCATTAATATATACCCGCCTAAAAAATCTCATGGTAATCTTACAATATACCTCATGGTAATCTTACAGAATATCATCGCTCGCTCGGTAAATTTAAAGAATCTCATCTCTTATTTATCTACTCTTAACATTTTTTTTTAAATTATGTAACATATTTTTTTTTCTTAAAAAAATTAATTCACTCTAAAGTGTAATTGCTAATACAAAATTTAAAAAATCTCATCTTTTATGTATCTACTCAAACAAATTTTTTAAAAAAATTATGTAACAGATTTTTTTTTCCTTAAAAAAATTAATTCACTTTAAAGTGTAATTGCTAATATAAATCTTGACCTACGGTCGGAATTTTTTTAAAAAGTTAATTTTCACCTATCTAAATACTAATATTTTTCCAAATATTATTAACATTTATAATATTGGAGATATTTCAAACATTATTTGGACAAAGATTAAGGAGCTATATATA